TTCCGCAAGTGTCACTCTTATTGCCTTATTCCGATGAGATCAAGCAAGTAGTGGCAGTTTGTGTCGGCTGCGGAGCAGATGCCAGTTACTCCTTTCGTAACACAATGGACAAGAAGGTTTTTTCATGTTCCATCATAGTTATATCTCTTCAAATCTCATACGTGTCGACTTTTCTGATTTTTTTTGCTTTTATTAGGAAAAGTGATAATTGAAAAGCAAACAAAAATAAATAAAGATCTTTCCAGGTGGAAGTGATAGGTGGTCAGGACACTTATCGCGCCCTGTGTCGTGCCTGTTACATTGAAGAGTCATCTCGTCGTGAAACAGATCTGGAAATGAATGACAATGAAAATTGCGTTCGCTGCGATCGCCATTTCGCCAAAGAAGAGTTGGCACCTGGAGACATGCCGCTTAGGGTGTCCCGCGCGCAGTGATCAGTTTAGGATACTAACTCACTTTCTCCATACCTCTTTCATACTGCTCAATTTACATTCACTTTGAGTCATTCCCTTGATTCTTATACTCACTTTTACAGATTTCTTGATAATTTTTATTTTGTGTACTTTTGCACTTTCTTGTATTTACCTTTCATTAGTTATTTAAATTTTAAGTTTTTATTCTCCATTGGATTAGTAAATGCTCTGTAAGTAAATGTTGTTCTATTATAAGGTAATAATTCATTATTAAGTTCATTGGAATTTGCCAACGGTTTGTAGTACAATTGAATTATCTGGATACTGGAATAGAAATGTTGGACCTCCTCGTAATAACTATGTTGTTAGAGGAGGCACCCCTTCAAAAAAATCATATTTGATATAACCATGCCTATTCATTCATACTTGATGACGATTTTCCTTTTGCAGCGTCATATTGCAGAAGACTTTCGGTAAGATGGCAAGCAATAACCTCAATGGCGCAAAAGTTGTTTTCAAATGTCAAAGAATGAAAATTCCTCTGGTTTTTGTTTTTGATTACGGAAAAAGTGTTGTTAAAGTGCACACAATAGTACACATTTTTGTTCAAGTCGCAGAACAATAACTGGTTTTGTACCGCACGCTATTTTTAGAATTTCCATGTACATATTCACAATATTTAATCAATACACCTGTTGCATAAAGTTGTGCTAAGATGGCATAAACGAAAATGAGCAGTGCAATACATC